GGAGCATATCCTCCCCGGCCGAATTCAAAATTTCAGTAAAACTCTGTACAATTTTATTAATGTTGTCAATGTCAATTTCTTGGTTGGTTAGATTTCTTATGTCATCAGCTCTACCCCAAATTTTTGCACGGAAAGTTTGAAACCTATCGTCACTCCAAATATACTTATTAATAATTATCTTTTTATTATTAAATGCTTCCTTGCTTTTTAATGGTACCGCATTTACTTCTACGGTGTAGCACAATGGAAAATGGTCAGATTCTACCCGAACGGGGATTTCCAAATTATTCACCATTTCAAATAGATCTAGCGAGACAATGACATAATCAACCACACTTCAACCGTCGTTTGCAACACATGTAAAATCACCAACAGGCACATCTGTTCTGCCATTAATAGTGACTAGAGATAACACTTTACACATTGATAATAGTGCCAAGCCAAAATTGTTAATTTTAGTGTCACGAGAAACACGTGGTATATCAAAATTTCCTTCAGTATATGCTATATCGAGGCCCACGCCATGACGTGTGTCATCGTATTGCAGGTAATCTGGGTCAGATGCAGTTCTAGCATTCAAGTCTCCACTAATTATAATGTTAGTTTCTTCCTCATTGTATGCTGACATGACAACCACATGTGTCTCTAGGGACACAATTAGGAATATCATAGCAATGCAAGAATTTAATTTCGCGAGGCAAATTTTCACTAATTTTGTCAAGGAGGAAATCATGAAATTTTGTGACAATATCACAAGTGTTCGTTGTACTCACAGCGACTTTCTTGAAATTCAGTTCTAAATAAATTCAATCCAAAAACTTTGCAAATTTAATAAAAAAAATGTTTGCTTACAATGTCATGGACTGACATGGAGACCGACTGACCTGTGGTCTTGTTGTACACAAATGACAAATCAGTTGAATAACCTATTTTATATATACAACAACATATACCTAAGTGTTCGTCTTACAGCATGTTTCAGAAGTATTGGGGCAGCCAATTTGCAAACTCGCTAACGAATTGGCTAACTGCTTGGGTTTTGACTAAACAGTTGGCTTTCAAATCTTGCTGGCGCCGACTTGTTGGTCGCGTCCACTCTGGGCGAGTCTATATTGCATTAGGCAACAAGGAATGCTTTTACGTAGCCTGGTACATGTCTGGATTCCCCTGAATGATTTGCTTTGCGAGGCGTGATAATGTGAAAGTAGTTTCCCTGGTCAGCCTGAGAATGGCCATAGTCATCTGGCGTACAAGTGATAATATGATAAAAGCGATTAATCCACCTATACACGAAGAAAATACACGAGTTTGCAAATTGGCTGCCCCGAATACTTATGATACTTGCTGTAAGAAGCTGCCAATTAAAATTTTATTGCATTTTTCCCCCCATTTTTTTTAATTGTTTTTGCTGTTCTCTTTCAAACTTTATATCCCTATATATATATATATATATATATATATATATATATATATATATATATATATATATATATATATATATATTAGTCATGATGCTTGAAAATTGACTATGGGGAGAACACTATATAGATTGAACATTAGAGATATCGGCTTTAATCATTACCAGTTTTTTTTGTTTTTTTAATGTAGACATATGTAGCTTCGCTTTGAATAACAGATTTCAAACATTCACAGATTGATCACTTGATAGTGTTTGGGGGGTCATGAAACAGCAGCTAACCTACATTACTCATAATCATTGCATATTGATGGTAATCACTGCATATTTATTTTAATATCCATGGCAGATGTCCCGATTATATATCAGTGAACTGATTTTGAAGGTCATGGTTTTATATTTTATAATTCAGGTGACCTTGTTGTACATTTGACTACATAGGAAATGTATTTATTACAGGCAATATGTTGCGGCCTCCTTGACCTCCTAAATTCACAAAATCTCATCAAATTAAAGTATTGTATTCCCTACTGGTAAAAAAATAAATAAAAGAAGTTTAAAGATAAAATCAGAATAGTGGTACATGTACTATCTGAATTACGGGATATAAACAATAATAGTCTACATTTTAAATAAAAAAAAAAAATTTCCATGATAGGAATATGTATTATTCAACGTATTATTCCAAAACTTCAGGAGTGACTAAAACGACAACTGTGAAAAAGTGAGTCCCGGAGTGAATTTATTATACGAGATGTCACAAATAATATTTAATAATAACAATTTATTTATTTTGTTAGTAATTTATTCACGTTAGTTTTGTTTTTATGTACAGCATTCCATCAAGAATTACATTAAAAAAGGAGATTACATTCATGAGAACGAGCTGACATTTGTTAAATGTTTTTATTCGCTTTTCGCTCTCTTAACATGAGTTGTCAGTCTACCCTTAGTTATTCTTGGTTTTCCCCTCAGATTACCGGGTAGAACATTTACTGCTTGGTATAAATCATACAATGTTACACACAGACACTATAAATAATGCAACTGATATGTACTTGTATAGTATCACTGCAACTACATGTGTAAACAGGAATGACGTTACCAAGTCCAGCTATAAATAGTATATGTCATTAATGATCAAAGCAAGACACACCTAGACAGATATTTTGTAAAATCACCCACGTATTAAAGGCTTAGTCATAAATGAGAATATCCAGAATTTATATATTTTTTTCAATAAATTGTACTCAAAGATATTGACATAAATAAAAAATAGAGGTCACCCACACGAAAATGATGACTGTATTTTAATGAACAGGCAGTAATAGAAGCATTTTGGCAGTAATATAACTAAACGCTTTTACCATAGTTTCCTATGGCGGAGATTTTATGCTATATTTTAAAGGGTGGTGGTTGTCGCGCCACGTTCTATTCGATAAAATTGTAGCCTTGACAACATAGGCTGAAAAAAAATCATACGTTGTTAATGATGGGGTACTTTTTGTTGTCCCAAATTATTTTAAAGATTTGTTTTTTTAAAGGTGTCAAAAGAAACAATTTTTCCTTTAAAATTGTGTTTCATGGAATAGCAATTTTTGAAAAATATTAGGACTAGTTTCCTAAAAACACACAAAAACACAAAAGAATGCTATTTCATAGGAGCAAGGGACAATAGCTCCACGATTTCACATACCGGTACTAAACTAATAAATATTGTCATGTGATTTATGACCAACTTTCTACAAAATTGTGAGTAGGCTTCTACCTTAACAAGTACTTTGCTTAAAAGAGTTTAAAGCACTAGCAACAGATACCGATTGTATATATTATGTATGTGGATTTACTACTAATTGTGTTTAATTCTATATTTATCCTGCCCCCCCCCCCCCATAATTTCATTGCAAGTTTTGTAATATTCAGAACACTTTACTGTATTTTCCACAAAGATCCCAAATAGGAATACAGTTTCAACAGAATTTTTTTATTATTACCATATTTGTTTTATTGGTCGTGCAAACATTGAAATAAATTATCAAGGTTTTTTCTGTGGTCAATATGATTTATTTTAAAGATTCAGTACACAGCAAATAAGATTTTTGATTTACAAGCACTTATATTGAAGATCTGCTTTTAAATAGTGTATGTCAGTATTCGGAACATTTTTTTTTTTTTTTTTGTTATCAACAAAGTGCCATAAACCTAAATTTATAGCCAAACTACATAAACTGATAAGAAACAAATATAACACACCCACGCTAGTCGCTGTTTAAATCAATTCAATTTTTTTTTTTTAGTTAATTACTGTGAATTTTAGCTAATGAACAATTATTAGCAATCTATTTTTTTATGTATTTGTAGGATTCATTTTTTTTTTAATAACCGATTAATAAATTTATCTAAACATTAAAATAAACTACATATTTTCCGTTTTTATGGTATTTCTGAACATATGTTATGTACCCGCCATATTGGTACAGCCTTAATGAATACACAGCTCATTATCAATTAAAAACAAAATGTAACATAAAAACCAAAACAGATGTTGTGGCATGTAAGTATTGGAAAATTTTCACCACCAGTTCCCTCTTTTTATCACAAATTCACAAAATAGTTCCATTTATAGTCTGCACTTCAAAAGATTAGGACAAAAACAGCCAAATTTTTTGAGTAAAAACTGAAAATTGACTCAAATTTTGTCTGTTGGCCCCATTAGGATGCATTTCCACAAATATTGCAGAATATAAGAACAAGCTATGCATGTCACAGTCCCCATTAGTTATCAAATTTAAGATACATAGTTTTGTTTATAGTAATATAGTTGGAACATAAACATGTCAGAGATATGGATCTAGAAAATGATGCTTGATTATGTTTTTTCAACATTAAAATGATAGACATTCAGTCATCTTGTATCTGATCGTCAAATGAGTACTTGAGATATATACATTAATTAAAAAGAAATGGTCATCGGTCGGCCATTTCGAATCAGAAAGTCAAACCAATACATCTGTATATCTATGATATGATGTATAATGAATATATAAAATTAGAACATAAACAATCAAAGCATTTGAGAACCGCATTCATTAAAACAAAATGGCTGCCAATCAGCTATTTTTAAATGCTTGATTTTTTTGATGATTTTTTAGCACAAAAATGGCCATCGTTCGGCCATTTTGAATTGAATCTTCAAACCAATACATCTGTATATCTGTGACAAGATGTACAGTTAATATATAAAAACTGAACATAATCAGTTAAAGTATGTCAAGAGATATGGCACTAGAACCGCATTCTTTAAAACAAAATGGCCATTTTGAATCTGATCTGAAAAACAAAATGAAATCCATCTGTAAACAGCCAAGATCCGGTTCCGAAATGCCAGATTTTGATGTTTTTTCAGCACAAAAATGCCCGCCATTTAGCCATCTTGAATCAGATTGAGAAACAAATTGGTGTATAATATTATGTATGTGTGAAGTTTGAATGTGATCAGTCCAGGCATGTCCAAGAAACAGGTCTAAACACACTAACACACACACACAGAGGTCAATCCATAAGTCCCCATTTTCGGACTGCAGTGCAGAAAAAATTGGGCGAGAAAGTCTGGAGGTGAACGAGTTAATAAACAATTATTTGACCAGTGTGGCAGAAAAATATACCAGTATTACTTTAATTTCTATTTTAACAAAAAGTATAACATGCAGTGTACTGTACTTTTTTTTTTTAATTTACAAACACCTACTGGTCACAGCTTGTACTTGGTCCAAAATTTAGAATCACTAAATTTTACTATTTCACTCTCATTTTCTAACACACGATTTTTTAAAACTAATTTTTTAAACATGGTTGAAATATTTAAATCTATGTTGTAAACCCATGTACCAGCCAAATTTTTGAATGAACTCATTTCTGCTGACTGTATCTATCAACTGTCAAACATGTGCTACATTACGGAGTAATATCAGCTGTTGCATCTAATAGTAAATCTAAATCTTGGCATGATTTGAACATAATACCACTAGGGTACAAACTCAATTTGTGAGTGGCTAATACACATGTTTTTTTCTACATTTAAACTGGAATGCATTAAAAGAAACATTATGGACTATTTAGGAGATAGGACACAAGGGAATCATTGCACAGCACAATTGGTATCACTGCAGGACATAATGGGTTCCACTGCAGGACATAATGGGTTCCACTGCAGGACACAATGGGTTCCACTGCAGGACATAATGGGTTCCACTGCAGGACATAATGGGTTCCACTGCAGGACATAATGGGTTCCACTGCAGGACATAATGGGTTCCACTGCAGGACATAATTGGTTCCACTGCAGAACATAATTGGTTCCACTGCAGGACACAATGGGTTCCACTGCAGGACATAATGGGTTCCACTGCAGGACATAATGGGTTCCACTGCAGGACATAATGGGTTCCACTGCAGGACATAATGGGTTCCACTGCAGGACACAATGGGTACAACTGCAGGACATAATGGGTACTACTGCAGGACATAATGGGTACTACTGCAGGACATAATGGGTTCCACTGCAGGACACAATGGGTACTACTGCAGGACACAATGGGTACTACTGCAGGACATAATGGGTTCCACTGCGGGACACAATGGGTACTACTGCAGGACACAATGGATACCATTACAAGACACAATGGGTACCACTGCAGAAAACAGTGGGACCATTAAAGGACACAGTTGGTACCCACTGTAGGACACAATGGGAACTACTGCAGGACACAATGGATGCCATTACAAGACACAATGGGTACCATTACAAGACACAATAGATTCCATGTAGGAGAAAATGGATACTACTGCAGGACAAAATTGATACCATTATGGGACACAATGGGTACCACTGCAAGACACAGTGGGTACCACTACAGGACACAGTGGGTACCACTGCAGGACACAATGGGTACCACTACAGGACACAATGGGTACCACTGCAGGACACAGTGGGTACCACTTACAGGACACAGTGGGTACCACTACAGGATACAGTGGATACCATTACAAGACACAATGAGTACCACTGCAGGACACAGTGGGTACCACTACAGGATACAAAGGATACCATTACAAGACACAATGGGTACCACTGCGGGACACAATGGGTACCACTACAGGATACAGTGGGTACCACTACAGGATACAAAGGATACCATTACAAGACACAATGGGTACCACTGCGGGACACAATGGGTACCACTACAGGATACAGTGGGTACCACTACAGGATACAGTGGGTACCACTACAGGACACAGTGGGTACCACTGCAGGACACAGTGGGTACCACTGCAGGACACAGTGGGTACCACTGCAGGACACAGTGGGTACCACTGCAGGACACAGTGGGTACCACTGCAGGACACAGTGGGTACCACTGCAGGACACAGTGGGTACCACTGCAGGACACAGTGGGTACCACTGCATGACACAGTGAGTACCACTGCAGGACACAGTGGGTACCACTACAGGACACAGTGGGTACCACTACAGGATACAGTGGATACCATTACAAGACACAATGGGTACCACTGCAGGACACAGTGGGTACCACTACAGGATACAGTGAATACCATTACAAGACACAATGAGTACCACTGCAGGACACAGTGGGTACCACTACAGGACAGAATGGGAACTACTGCAGGACACAGTGGGTACCACTACAGGACACAATGGATGCCATTACAAGACACAATGGATGCCATTACAAGACACAATGGATGCCATTACAAGACACAATGGGTTCCATGCAGAACAAAATGGATACTACTGCAGAACAAAATTGATATCATTACGGGACACAATGGGTACCACTGCAGGACACAGTGGGTACCACTACAGGACACAGTGGGTACCACTACAGGACACAGTGGGTACCACTACAGGACACAGTGGGTACCACTACAGGACACAGTGGGTACCACTACAGGACACAGTGGGTACCACTACAGGACACAGTGAATGCCATTACAAGACACAATGGGTACCACTGCAGGACACAGTGGGATACCATTACAGGACACAGCGGATACCATTACATGACACAATGGATGCCATTACAAGACACAATGGGTACCACTGCAGGACACAGTGGGTACCACTGCAGGACAGAATGGGTTGCACAATCAGACGAATAACCATATACTTACAAAATAACTGGTTTGATTGGTGTTGCATATGATACTAGTTTGACTTTACACAATGGTTTGGATTTATTAGTAAGATGACCACTCCACAGGCAATAACTGTTCTCATCCATGGCTTCATGTTGCCCAGCTGGAATAGAAACAAAGTTGCAGTGACTAAGTTAATGCAGCTGTAAATAGACAGTACCATTGGGTGGGAGTGGGGGAGTGGATGATGGTTTTGGGTGTTAATCTACAATTATTTCATTCTTGTCACCAGGAATATATGCAGATTTAGGCAGATATTTTACTATACCAGCTTCAGTTTTGTTTCAAGCATGTTGATTCTGTATTGCAGGTATTCATGTTACCATCAAACATTAAAAATGCCATGCACGTCCGACTCAGCACCCATGCTTGACTCACCCCCCATCCCCCACTGGCTAATTGCAAGATCACATTCGACTAAGCACCAATTTTATTGTTTGAGTTATTGTAACCTCAAAAAAAGTATTACCACTGAGTCAACAATGACAACAGATACCCCCCCCCCCAATATACTAGTACCTTGGCCTTCATCTATGATGACATCAACAAGGATAAAAACTAAATAAAGAACTGGTTTATACACATACCTTGTAATATTCTGGGATCTTTGGCAACCAGAACTGATGATGTCGGCGATGATCCTATAACTGGGGTCGTGACGGCGTTTCTATTAAAAAAAATGATTGATATTTGTATTTGATCGTCAAGTATTGAGAGATATTGCTCTGGAATAGCATTAATTAAAACAAAATCAGCCATTTTGAATACATGTATAATGAATATATAAAAGCATGTCAGAGATATGGCTCTAGAAGCCCATTCATTAAAACAAAATGGCCGCCAGATAGCCATTTTGAATCTGATCTGAAAAATAAAATGATGTGCATCAGGAACCCGTATTGTCTAATGTATGTACCAAGTTTGAACAAAATCCACCCATAAATTCCAAAAATGCTTGATATTTGATGATTTTTTAGCACAAAAATGGCCACCATTCGGCCATTTTTAATAGGATCGTCAAACCAATATATCTATATATCTATGACATGATGTATAATGAATATTTAAAATTTGAACATAATCAGTCACAGCAAGTCTGAGATATGGCACTAGAACCACATTCATTAAAACAAAAAGTGAAGTTTCAGCCAAGAATAAAGTTAAATTTGCATCTTTCATTGCACAATTCATGAACACAAATTAAGGGACGACGTCAAAAGATCGATGTCGGATAAAAAACTTATTTGCTTTAGTTTGGGGGTGGGGGGTGGGGGTGGTTGATCTCAAAAAGTTTCCATCCTACAAAAACGATTTTATTTTTTAATGAAGTCAAAAAAAAACTTGGAGTATTTGTAGTTTTTTTTTTCTCTATCCAATCATTGACAGAAATAACAGAAAAGGAAAAAAAAATACATCCAAGACGAGAGAATGGTTTTGTCCGATGTGGGTCAAATGAGGTGCATTTGTAAAGTCTTTTTACACCCACCCGACAACCAACTGCTATGCCATACTACTGTCCGATTATCAATTTGTATTTAATGGTGAATGTAGTCTGACGCCACGACCAATATTTATCAATTAAGTTTCAGTGGGGGGTGGGAGGGTTCTTTTGACGTCTTTTGACGTCGTCCCTAAGTTGACCCAGATTAGATTAGCATTGTTGTTAACACCAAACTGAATTCATAGTCCAGGGCTCCCGTCTTTCAAGCTCACTATGACAATCTGTTACAATAAAGTTGAAGTGTTCAAGACGGAGGTCGATAATCAGCCAGTGAAAGTAATACATTTTATTTCATGTTTTATGTAATGAGAACCTTACCTTGATCTAGGTGGTGTGCCAGCTGGGATTATCAAATTTGGATGCAATGGAGTGTATTTGAAAGTCAGCACTGCATAAGGCCTTAGATGCCTAGGACGTTCCACCATATCTAACTCCCCAAATTCATATATGTAATACTGAGGAATAAAACAAGTACATAAAACCAGGGATACATTATATTATTACTGATAATGCTGGCATGGAACTGAATGCCATGTCATAAAAGCTTGTAACACTTTAGTTATTATTGCAGGAAAATAAATAAATAAATTTATATTTGTCCAATCTTCAATGTCAGGAATATGATTATGATTTTTTTAACATTAAAATGATTGACACATCTTATATCTGATCGTCAAACGAGTATTTGTTCATATTGAGAGAAATTGCTTTGAAACAGCATTTTTAAAACAAAATCGGCCATTTTGAATACATCTATATAACTATAACATGATGTATAATGAATATATCAAATTTGAACATAATCAGTCAAAGCATGTCAGAGATATGGCTCTAGAAGCACATTCATTAAAACAAAATGACCACCAGTCAGCCATTTTGAATCCGAATGGGACTAATAATATCCATTGCTACAAAATATAACTTTCCCTAACGCATGAAATTCACGAGCAACAACACATGGTTATTATTAATAAATATATAAGTGCTTTAAAAGAGCCTTTATGCACGTGTGTTTTTCATATAGCAAATAGGGTATACAATACCTGTGTTGAGTCAAATGCTTGTTTGGCAGTGAGATGTGTAATGTCCAAATTAGCACTCTTAGAAACATGACAATCATAATTAGGAGTTGGTTCTATGATATTCCAGGAATGATTTTCAGTCATTGCTTTCACACGACCCTGTTGAGAAATTAAAACCAAAATTATATGACTACTGTAAAAATTCAATCAATTCGGCCATGTAAAAATAAATATTTTTGGGGGTGGGCCAATTGATTGAATAAATGTAGAAAATATGTTTCCGAAGTGGTCGATTTGTTTGAATAATTTTTCAACGTTTTAAAACTGGGTTCGAAGTGTGTATCACCGGTAACTGAATAAATATATCATTTTCCCGAGATTAGAGTAAAGGTGTAGTACTAGTCTGAGACTTGACCCAATTTTAAAACAAACTACAAGCGCGTTCAAGAAATCTGACGCAACCTGCTGTTTTGTTGCCGTGAAGACGACAGTTTTATGTCACGCTCCCCGTAAATGTAAACAAACATGGTAACGTGAAAAACTGAATAAATATATCGTTTTCCGGGATTAGAGTAAAGGTGTACCGGTAGTACTAGTCTGAGACTTGACCCAATTTTAAAACAAACTACAAGCGTGTCCAAGAAATCTGACGCAACCAGGCCACCTGCTGTTTTGTTGCCGTGGAGACGACAGTTTTATGTCACGCTCCCGTAAATGTAAACAAACATGGTAACGTGAAAAACTCACTGGAATAGAATAGAATTATGCTTTATTGCTAATTGCTGTACTATTTTTTTGAAATTATCTACAATCCAGCCGTTGATTTTATTTGGGTCAACCAAAAAAAAAGAAGATATTTTGACGTGCTGCGTGACTGTGTAAACAAAACCATGTCCAATAAAAATGACGCCTTTACGCTACACATTGGCGACTTTGTATCGACTTACTGGAAATGCCGAAGACAATACAATTTGCAAGTCGGCATTAATTAATTTTTTACCCCGTTAAAATTAATAATCTACTTGACTTTTAAACAAACAACTCTGCAGGACAATGTTTTCGAACATTACTGAAACGACTGTGCTGAAACAATCCAGCAGATAATTTTATTTGGGTCAACCGAAAAAAAGAAGATATTTTGACGTGCTGCGTGACTGTGTAAACAAAACTACGTCCAATAATAATGACGCTTTCATGTAACACATTTGCGACTTTGTATGACTTGCTTGAAATTTCAAAGACGAGAGTCAAGTGTCGGCCTGAATTTTGTTGTCCCTAAACCATGGAGCTTCGTTTCGTCAGTGATTGCTAGCAATTTAGTATTTGTTCGTTGTCGATATTTTTGGCGTCGTGATGAGAATTTTCTTAGCGATTATTTACAACTGATGTACTGGGTAATTTGTAATGACAATCAACAGAGTATATTTCACCATGGACATACTAGAGATTTCACACGTCTTTTGTACAACCACGGTTGACACCATGACTGCACATCTGGCGGATATCCCGATTGCTTATACCATGGATGTAAATGCTTATACATGTACATTGTATTTACGTGATAGATGTGTGAAAATATACCTTTGTTGAGAGAGTGGCGTAAAAATCGGGTGGTGTCATCACCGGGCGAACTAATTGAATACAAACAATAGACTGACTGGACAGATGGCCGAACTAAACGGATACATTTTAAAATTAACCATGACGCAAAAAATAGGTGGCCGAATTATTTGAGTGGCCGAATTGATTGAGCTTTTACGGTAATTATTTTTTCATCACTCAAGGTGATTGTGGCCTCCGATTTGAAATAGCATTTATTTACAGAATTGATTGGAATAATTTCTTTTGAATAGTTACTCTTTCCTGGAAGACTAGTACCCTCCTCGGTTGAAAAGGTCTGAATTTCATTAATATGACAGTTGTGACATTTCAACTATTTGCTTGTGTAATATATAATATTTTAACAATTCAGTGGGGTGTTCTATGCTGCAGTAACGGTACGTATTCCATTTTGAAGTGTGATGTTCTATGCTGCAGT